GAGGGGAGGATCCTGGCGGCCGCGCGTGGAACGGAGATCGCGTAGCGCTGCGCTGTCCCGCCCCGCTCCCGGCGTCCCCGCGGCCCGCCGGCGCCCGGACCTACGGTTTCCTCGGGTTTGCAGCGTGAACGCAGAAGAAGGGGGTGGTGGGGTCGCTGCCAGTCTCGGCCGGAGGAACTAGGAGACCCGAGGGGACCGCGAAGCAGCGAGGACGGCGGCAGAGGGAGGGGCTGGCTCCTGGGCGGTGCTAAGTCTGGGCGGGGGCGCGGTCCCCGCGGGGGCTTCAGGCGGCCACGTCCCGCTCCTCTGGGTGTAGGGGCCGCCCCGGGTTTGCAGTCCTCAGGGCCGCCAGACATGTCCGAGGTGAAGAACCGGAAAAAATCGGGTCCCAAGGGAGCCCCCGCGGACCCCGGGAAGCGGAGCGAGGGCGGGAAGAGCCCCGAGGCCCGGGGCGGTGGAGGCGGGGGCCGGGTGGACCCCCGCACCGGCGTGAGCCTGCTGTCGCTGGGGATGTGCCTGGGCCTGGCCTGGTAAGTGGACGCGAAGCCGCCCGGGCCCCGCGTCCGGCCTCCCGCGGGCGCTCGGCTGCTGTCGGGATCCCGCCCCGGGAACCCCCGGCTCGGCCTCCACTAATCCCCAACCCCCCGTTTTGCGGCTTCTGAGCCTCTGCCTCGACCTCCGAGAAGGGACGGCCCAGCTCCGTTTTTTCTGTCGCCCTTTTCTTGTAGCTCCCTTTAACTTGGCACTAGGATCTTGCCCCGATCGCTCCGGGGCGCTGAGGCTCCGGTTTGCGGCGGGTCAGTCGTTTCTTGGGAGAGACAGAGTCGGGCAAACTGGATTCGGCGCCCGCGGCGCGCAGGGCTGCCCGGTTCTGGGGCCCGTTCCCTCCAGCCCGCTGTGCACGCGTCCCCCACGGGCGCGCCCCACCCCGCAAATGCCTAATGGCTACGTTGGCAGCCTCAAAAGAATTCGTTATGCTCTCAAAGCAACAAACGTCAGTGATTATATTAAAGCTCGGAGGATTTCCCTTTTTGATCCGGGTGCATGCCTTATGACTTTAAAGTCTGTTCCTAAACTTCAGATTGAATTTTAGTCCTGGGAAGCTGCAAAAGCGTGGCCCTTGTGACAAGGCCGACGCCTTAAAGTATACTTGCCCTCCATTTTTCACTTTTTTTTTTAAAGTATTTAGAAGATAGTTATTCATCTTAAAAAGTAATCGAATTCTAGAAGGGGCCCTGGACATCCTCTAGTCTAGAACACTTATGCTAGTAAATTTTAACTTATACTTTAGTGGTGACTCATCCAGAGTTGGAACTTAATAAAAGATTTGTTACAATAATGTGAAATGTTGATTATTAAATGTTCTTCTCTTCAAAAAAAAATATAGTTATTTTACTAATATGTTATTTTTGTTTATGGAATATTTTGACCTTGAACTTAAAATAATAAATGTACTGAATTAACTTTTGAAAACTGCTCTTATATGTTAAAATGCATGACCTTTAGGTATATTAAAACCCTTTTTGTATTGGGAAAGTTACTCAGTAATAGAACTTAGTTTGCTCAGAGATATTTGTTGCTTTTCCCTGTAACTTAATACAACTAATTTTACTTCCTCAGTTTATTAATTCTCATTAATTTTCAAAAGATGCATATTCATGTGAGTTATATCACAAAATGTTCAGTTTTTCAAAAATGTAATTACTGTCCTTGGAAAAAACACTAGTAGTTAATCTGTAGACATAAGAAATGTCCAAAACTGTAGAGAATTTGTATTAATAGTTTATTTGAGCCAAAACTGATGACAGTTGTTGGAAAGCCAAATCTCAAATGCTCCAGAGAATAACAGCTTTGCAGTTTCTTTTATGCATTTGAAATTAAGGAGAGAACTTAAGGAAGATTGCATAAAGGTGGGGAAAAGCAAGGTGGGGATTTGATTACAGGATAGCTAACAAGATTAATTCTCTTAAGGGTGGTAACCACTCATTTGAAAGGTGTGCTAACCTAGGTACATAGAAACAATGGACAGGGTTTGCTTAAGGCAAAGATAACACTTTTACCAAGAGAGTTATAAGCCTGGGTGTGACTACCCACCATGACCTGCCCAGTTAGGAATATATGATCCGATCACCCTGTGAAGTTATTTTCCACAGAACCCCTTTTTCGTCCACAAATCTATAAAGCAAAAAACTGTTGAAAAGCAGACGCTTCAGCTCAGGAATTTACTGTTAGTGCCTACAGTAAAGACACAAACAGGTTACATTCAGTAGGAAGATTTTGTTTGAACTGTGTCTTTGCAAAATGATAAAGAAATGCTCAAAGATTTTTTTCTAAAAATGGACAGAGTCTATGATTGCTATTAAAATAGTTGATTGTTAATTGCTCTTGTGAAATCTTTTGCCCCAAGAGTTGAAGTATAAATACTTCAGTCACTGTTTCTAGCAAATATATATTTGTAGTAAATTTGGGAATAAAAAATTATTCTTGGAAGACATTTGCAAGCATTTTCCCTATAAAAACATTTGATATGTCAAAATACAAGAATTATAACAAAGCCATCGAGATTTTTACCTCTAGAACACATACTTCAGCATCTAAAGGTCAGTTCATCAAATATTGAATGCTTACTATACTGACACTGTCCTGATTGTTAAAATACAACATTGAATATATGTGCCTTTCAACACATCCTATCCACCCTCTTACACTTAGATTAAATTGAGAGGGGAAGTTTAAACCCTTCCAAATGCCCTAGCTGATTTGGCTCAGTGTTTAGAGCCTTGGCCTGCAGACTGAAGGGCCCAGGTTTCAGTTCGTTTCCGGCCAAGGGCACGTACCTCGGTTGCAGGCTAGATCCCCTACCCAGGTTGGGAGGCAACCAATCGATGTGTCTCTCATATCGGTGCTTCTCTCTCTCTCCGTCCTCTCCCTGAAAAGCAATGAAAAAAATAATAAAATAAAGACATCTGTATTTCAGAGTCTTCAGGCCTTTTAAAGTCTTGGAATTCTTGTTTAGAAAGTAAATAAAGATCATGTGTAACAGATAAAGTCCTGATTTGTCAGTTTAACAATAAGATGGAGATAACAGTTGCCCAAAACTAAATGGCTTTGAGTGTTAGTTTGCATACTTCGTTTGTAAACTCTTAAGATTTTTCAAATAAGAAGATTGAAGAAATTCTGCTTTCAAAAAGTTTAAAAGTTGTGAAGTTACTAAACAAGACACAGGTGATACTTTACAAGCTTATTTAACTACATAAAAAGCAGAAAAGTTCCATTGTGAAAAATATGTTTCTTCTGGAAATTTCAACAGATTTCTAAATTGCCTTTATAAAAGTTTTCCATCACATTTGTGATAATTATGTATAAGAAGTCAGAAGCTCTTTAAACCATCAGATAGTTTTTTTCTCTTTATCATCTAACGCTATAAATCATTTATGCAGCCAAATAATTGCCAACCCAATTTTTCAGCTTTTTGTTGTTAATGGAGTTTTATCTAAAAGTTATTCTTTAAATGACCTCTTTAAAAAAAAAAAAAAATCCTCACCAGAGGATATGTTTATTGACTTTTGAGAGAGAAGAAAGGAGAGAGAGAAAGAGAGAGAAACATCGATCGGTTGCCTCCCATACATGCCCCAACTGGGGATGGAACCCACAACCTTAGGTATATGCCCAGACCAGGAATCAAACCCACAACATTTAGCTGTATGGGATGATGTTCCAACCATCTGAGCCACACCAGCCAGGGCTAAATGTCCTGCTTTTTAAAAACGGAATATAGTCAGTGTTTTTCTGAACATTCAGTATTATATTAAAAATGAAGCTGTAGTATGAAACAGGGCTAAGGGGCTACCTGACTCTAGCAGTGGCCCTGGAACTTCCTTTCTTGCCGAAGGTCCGTAATAACAGCTGCCTTTGGTTATTTGCCTCTTTCTCATTAAGCTGAAACAGAGCCAATGAAACTCCTATAATAGTCCTCAGTCAGCTGTCTGCCACCGTGGAAGATTCCTGAAGGAGCTGTGCAGAGTCAAACACTCCAAGGAGATGCACAGTTTAATACTACAGGGCCCTGAGTCTGTATGAGGCCTCTATAGACTGCAATGGGTTATGGAATCTGAAAGTTTCCTTTTGTAAACTTGGTAGCCAGTTAACCTGGGTCCTTCAAGACCATGACCTATATGATAATAAGAAGGGGCCCCAAAACAGGATAAGAGAGTGATTCTCTTTCCTGTTAGCAGTCTCATCCACTCAATGCAGCCTTCATTTGCTGTAAACCCAACCCTGGTTTCAGAGGGGGACTGGCCTGGGGTTCTATCCACCACGATAGGTTTGGCAGAAGTGTGGAGAAGCCGCTGCACAAAGCAGCCGGGAAGCGAAGGCGAGGGAACTTACAGAGAACAGCTGAGGTGTTACGCTCTAGGCGCTGTCTGGGAGCGTTGTAAATGCGAACCTGTTTAACCTCTGCAACAACCCTATGAACTCAGTAGTAGTAACCCCTCTTCACAGATGAGAAACTAGCAGAGGTAAGTTAAATAACTTGCCTAACTCAGAGGGAAGGCCGGGGTGGGGGAGTGGGTGGAGAGAGATTAATCAGAGAACTTACATTCCTATATGCATAACCCGTGGACACAGACCATAGTGTGGAGAAGGCCTGGGAGGGGGGGTGCATGTGGGGTGGGGATCAGTGGGGGAGAAAAAAGGGACATCTGTAATACTTTCAACAATAAAGATAAGTTTTAAAACTTAAAGATAAATAACTTGCCCAAGGTGGTTATACAGCTAGTAAAAGGCAGAGCCAAAGTTGCCCAGCTCCACTCTCACCCAGCATGATATGCTGCCTCCCCTTTGATACTAATCCAAAAAGAGGCAAGGCCCTAGAAATAGAAGTCCTTGCTCCAGAACTATTTATAGTTTTCTTTCTTCAGCCACAAGCTGTAGCCCTTAGCAGACCCTAATTGTTTGTCTCATCTAAACTAGGGAAGATGAGCGTGAAAAGGCCTTGATCTGCTCCTGTTAAAATATGCCTCCGACACACAAAAAGGAAGCAAAGCATCTTGGGGGCTAATCTGAACGCCTGTTTTAAAAATTCGTGCTTCAGAATCAAAGCCACCTTCTCTCAGCATACATTTTTGGCTCTAGAAGATCTTCCTTAATGTTAAAGAGTTAATATTGACAAAGCCCTTAAAATAGTGTCAGCACATCTAAGGGAAAAATACTCCAGCATACAAACACTTTTCATTTCTTCATTACTAGCAGTAAGTCAACTTTATGATTGTTTTTTCTTATATATGCTACTCATATGTAGCAATGGTGAGTCTTAAATTTTTTTTTTTTTAAGCTAACCATGAAAAAAACCTACAAATTACCATCAGAGGTGATTTTCCACTAACATTACACAGTCTTTGTCAAGCTTTTGCTTGGTTTTAAAGAGAAGTGCAGAGAGAAACGACGTTAAAAATACTTAATAAAATGGAAAGTCCTAATGTGTTACTGTAGTGGATCAACCTTCACAAAAAGTCTTTTTTATCATAATGATTTTATTCTGAATATACACAGTAATGTATGGGATAAACCTATAAGGTAACACTGTAGAGTACCAAATGATAAAACTAGCCCCTGAAATTAGACTTATTTCTTTAGAATGGTCTCTATTCTAGGTCTCTGTCTGCTGATCTCAGATAAGCCTATACTCTGAAAAGAACCTCTAAAAAGCCAAGAATGAATCAACCAGTCAAAAGAGAATTAAGTCTACATATCCATCTTTGAAAATTAGGATAATGGTGCTTTCTAATAACCAGAAGTTTTTTTAAAAAGTTCATATTAGCACACAGGAGAAAATCTGTATAAATTACATAGCCTGGACTTCATTTGGTGTTATAGGATAGACAAGAGCCATCACTAAAAGAAATTTATTTCATCTGACATTGTAAACCTTTGTTTAAAAAGCAAAATATCTGTTTTAGCTTTGAACAGTTTTATAGAAACAGCGTAATGACGACATTTATGAGTTTGAAACACCACCACCTTTGCCATGATGCACAAAGCTCATAAGTCTTTCACCCCTGCATTGAATTTGGGGATCTTTAAATGTCTTTGGAAGTCAGTTTCACAAAACAGTATCAGTATGTGGGTTTTACTTTGTTGAGCACTCAGATAAACCTGAGGAGCCTTTAAATTTTATAATATCCAAGTCAAATCCCTAACCAATTAAATCAATTTCTGTGGGGGCACCCAGATATAAACTTTTTTTAAACTGCCAGGTGACTCCAATATACAGGGAAGATTTTGAACCACTGGTCTGTGTACTCGATTTAGACCCTGGCTTCACAGGCCCTGCTCCACTGCTTTTTGATGACTCAGATACACGAAGAATTTCAACTGCTGCTCTTTCTGATTCCAAAAATTGAGTCAAAGTAGATGAAGAAATTCAAAGCATTTCTTTCGTGCTTGCGCATTTCAAGTTCTGAACACACAACAGTCCATTCATTGTTTTTAAGACTGGGATAACTGTTATGCTTCTACCCTGTACTATCTACCAGATGAAGAACATACTCCAATTTTAGAAGGATATCTAAAGTACACCTATATGACTTGTATTTTTTACTATAAACAATTGTACATATTGTACACCTTGCCCTGCATATGTGTTCTGTTATCACTTTGACAGTGACTCCTGTTTTCATCAGTTTTGAGTCTGGTTATTTTGCAACTTTTAACCACCATCACGGCCTCTTCCACTCCACTGTAAAATAGTAGAGATCACATATTTTTTCCTAAATAATTCATTATTTCTTTCTCCAAAATATTTTTTCTGCATACCTCTATGCAGCTCATACTGACTGAGCTGTGAACTTTAACAGGGGCAGAGTTTCACTCATCTTTGCATGAGTAGTAAGTTCCGTTAAATCACTACCTACCACATAGCAGGCTCTCTAAATGTTTACTGATATAAACTAATAAAAGCTGCCACTACCCATACCAGAATTTATGTTGTCCTTACCAGAAGTGGATATAAAATAGTCCTTTAAAATTCAGACTAAAATAGATATGAATTAGGTGGTAGTGATTTTTTTTTTTTTTCTTTTCCAGGTTTGTATTTCAGCAGTCGGAGAAGTTTGCAAAGGTAGAAAACCAATACCAGTTACTGAAAAAAGAAACGAACGAATTCCAACAGCTTCAAAGTAAAATCAGTTTAATTTCAGAAAAGGTAATTATTGGCTCATTTGGGAAGATTTTCCCATTTTTCTTCCTCACTATCACCATTCTATCCCAGTTCACAAGTTCTTTTTTTTTCCTACTTTTTAGTTAATCCTATTTTAACTCTCACAGGTCTTCCTACCTCTTTACATTCTCCCTTCAATCCAATTTAGACAAGTTATATTTTGAAACGACAGGGATTTTTTTAAACATAACTAGTGTTATTGTTTGAAAAGACCAATATGCTTATATTGAGGTGATCTTAATTTTCTATTTAAATATCAGATGTCTAGAGCACTGAAAATATGATTGTTAGAATAGGAAAAGTGTTTGTTGGACAAAGATTCATCAGTGGTTTTTTCTTTACTTTCCACCGGTAAGCATATATACATGTGCATATAAGACCTACTAACCTAAAAATAAAGAGACTTTGTAGCTGAATGAAAATTAAAATCCATGTCTTTGTTGCGTTCCTTCAAGCTGCAAATGCAGAGGCATTATTTCTGTGATTCTTAGAAACAGGAGACGAATTTAAAAAAATGTACCACACTCTCAGGAGAGGGTCTGCTGTAATCAGTAAGGCATCCGTGGGCCTTGCCTGGCCACTCGGGACCAAGGTATCCCTGGGAAACATGTCTTGTTTGTTCATTTATTCATTCACTAACTCTTTACTCATGTCAGAAGGTAGACAGGACTTGTGCTTGGCTCCAGGGTGAGCAAGGATGTTATAAAAATAAAGGGAAAAGAAATAGAGGGTCTAAGTGCCTGCAGCCTCATGCGCTGGATGAGCATATATTCCTTCAGGAGATAAAAGCCATGGGTGAAAATTATGCATCCCTTCGGACATGCAAGGGAGTGAATGTGAACTTAGGGGCCTCTGGGGAGGAGCTGCAAGAATTGGTATTTTGACGTAGGGCTCAAGTTGGACTCTGGTTATACTTGGGGGCACTCTCATCAGGGGGAACATAATAAAAAAAAAATTTTCCTCAAGTTGGAATCTGGTTATACTTGCTGGGGGACACTCATCAGAGGGAGCATAATAAAAAAAAAATTTTCCTCAAGTTGGAATCTGGTTATACTTGTTGGGGGGCACTCATCAGAGGGAGCATAATAAAAAAATTTTTCCAGGAGACAGACAAACTTTGTGTGCTTAAAAGCTATTGTAAAACAATTTTTGAAGGAAGATTTCCTTTTTAAATGAAAAATTTGGTAGCAATTAAAATACTTTTTAAAGCCGATTTTTTAAAATATTATCATAGGATCCAGGAAGTATTCAGTCTTTGTATAGCTCTTTCCCTCCCAGTCTGCCTTAGGAGTAGTTTAGCAGTAGCTGCCTTTTCACAGCGCGGACCCCAATGGCCAGCATAATGCAGTGGGCTCCTGTCATAACTGTGTCACCTTGGGGAAAAATCACTTTCACTTTTCTTGGCCTCCATTTCCTCACTTATTAAATGAGAATAACAAGATTTTTATAAGGATCAGATGAGATACAATATATATGTAAACTCTGAAAACTTTCAAGCAGTAATAAATTTAAGGTATTGGCTCTTTTTTAAAAAACATGAAAAAGTACTGGAATATACTGGCAGCCCATAAATGATGGCTATCGTGGTAATACTGGTCACTGTATATGTATTTGCAGATTAAATCTTGAGACCTTATTATCTTATGAAGTTTATCTTTTCAGCCTGTGGGGGTATTGGGATATAGTGCCTCGGGGTATAGTGATTGATGAACAGCCCAAACGGCGCGGGTGAAGATAAGCTTGCCTCCTGGAAATGCTGCTAACAAGACAACTAAACCTAGCAGTGTTACCAGTATACAGGTATTTCTCAGAATTGGTTTTTAAAGGAACTTGTATTATGGCTACACGTGTGCACTGAAAATAATCTGTAAGCAAGGTTTCAGAGTGCTCTTACTGTATTGTTCAGTACGGCTGCTCATGGCTCCCAGCTGTCACCGGGAACTGCTTCAGGTATGATGGGGGTGGCCCCAGGAGGTTCATGGCCATTCTTCTTCCTAAACTTCAACAAACATGTTCTTTATGCCTGGAGATACATACGGGGACTACAACAATGTGTAAGACATGCTCTCGTGCCCAAAGGAATTTAGAAGCTCTCCTGTCTTCACCTGGCTCACTCATCAGTCTGTTAAAGGGTCAGATTTCCGAGGCACTTCTAAGCCTTTCTTCATTGACATCCAGGCTTCTGACCTCTCCTTAAACATCCATTCTCCTGTGCTAATTCTGTCATGACACGAATTATAATCTGTTGTGATTTTGTTGTTGTTAATTTGTCACCTTTACTGATCCTTAGGACAAACAAGGTCTTTTTTCTCTATATCACTATTGCCTAACAACGGAACAGAGGACACTTGATAAATCTTTTTGGAACTCTAGAATCTATGATCCAAAACACCATCTCCCCTACCAAATTGTAGAGCCAGGGTCTATTGCTGTATCTATATTTTTATATCCAGTTTCTAGCACAGGCCTGGCACACAGTGAACACTCAGAGTTCTTGAATTATATGTGCTAAGTGCCATATAGGTGGAACATACATTATACAGTACTTGCTGCAGGAGCTCAGGCTGTCGGGCTAGGGCCACCGGAAAATGCTGCGCTGATGAGCTGAGATCTGGTCTGAGCCTCGAAGGAAGGACAGAACATAGCTAGGCAAAGAGGAGGGAAGCCGGGCATAGAGAGAGGTTATGGAATTTGGAATTTGATCCTAGAAATATTTGGAAACATCCTGGGTTTTGTTATACCGTGATGTGCATAGCAGTTTCTAAAAGCTTAATCTGGCTGTAGTGTGTAGGATGATTTAGGGAGGAAGTAACTAGAAGCAGATACTACATACTGCTTCTAGAATATTCTCGATCATCAGAGTCTCGTGTGGGTGCCCCCTATAAGTGCTGCCACAGTCTTCCCGTCATAGCGTATATAGACTTAGCTTCCACCCCAGTTAAACTAAGCTGCTTAAGGGCAGAGTGGTGTCTTGTACAGTATTAAGTCTTCAACACAAGGCTGCACACATTTGATAAGTTAATGCCCATTTCTAGGTCTTTCTGTATCTCTAAGGCTGTTATCCATGTGAGTGTAGACAAAGAGAGGTCCACAGCCTGGCCCATCTGTGTTCCGGGCACATATTAGGACATGCCAGGAGATTACCATAATTTACAGATACTTAGGACACTCTGCCAGTATGGTTCTGATATACTTGGTATTTCATGTAAGTTGTCTCACTAAACTGTTTTGTTTTTTCACTTTGCCTTTGTGATATCTGTAAGATCTGCTTCTGGTACCTTCTCCACAGAACATAGCTAAGCAAAGAGGAGGGAAGCCAAGCATAGAGAGAGGTTATGGAATATGTTTTTTTCCCAGGGAGAAACTCTTCCAGAGTCATTGAATTTAGAAATGTTAACAAATTTTATAGCTGATTTACAGTTTCTAAAAATGCCAAATAACCATAAAAATAACAACTGAGTTGCTTTCCATTGGGGTAAGAAAAGAAAGAAATGTGATAGACTTCAGTCTCCTCAGCACTGTTCCTCACTTGAATATCCCTCCATAATAATCTGCAAATATTTAGGATTATAAATTCAGGTGTATATTTTTCCGCCATAGTGCTAATGCATTAAATTTGTTTTAAATATGTTAAAACAGCCTGGCTGGGCGTGGCTCAGCGGTTGAGCGTCGACCTAGGATCCAGGCGATCGGGGTTCAAATTCCTAGTCAGGGCACATGCCCGGGTTGTGGGCTCGATCAATGACTCTCATCATTGATGTTTCTCTCTCTCTCTCTCCTTTCCTCTCTCTGAAATCAATAAAGATATATTGAAATATACATATATATGTTAAAACAGCGTTCAAGTAATAAATGTTTTTGCCAGTATGGTTCTGATATACTTGGTATTTTGGACATCTTCGGAATTTGAACGTGGCACGTGATGATGAAAGTGTGTTTCCCTCCTATAAACGTTATTAAGCAGCCTCGGGAATTGTTTTGTGTCGCAAATGCAGCTTGAGTCTACTGAGCGTGTCCTGCAGGAAGCGGCATCATCCGTGGCTTTGGTGACCCAGTTTGAGCAGGAAGTATCCAGCCTCCAGCGTATCACGCGTGCCATTCAGCATAGTGAAGAGGTGCTCAGGCACAAGATGCAGAGCCTTAATGACACTTTCCGGAATGTCACCAACGTGTGGCAGAGGAGCCTGGAAGACATGAACGCTCGGACAGACCTTCTCAAATCGGAATCAAAGCACATGCATTCCCAAGTGACTGTCCAAATTAACTCCGCCGAGCAAGGGGTCAGATGGCTCACGGAAAGGCTCAGAGACCTGGAAGACAGCACACTCCGGAACATCCGGACGGTGAGGGCACAGGAGGAGGAGGACCTGCGGCGCCTGGAGGAGCAGCTGCGCGCCGAGGCCGGCGCGGTGGCGGCGCTGCGGGAGGAG